AGAAAAAAGGCGATACTCCTGATTAAAGAATGTGGCCACAAAATCCTAAGTGGCAGCAAAACCAACCGCAGGAAGGCAGGCCGGCAAGCAACCTGGCTGCCGTGAGGAATTCAACAGGGAACGAGCAGGCAGTGAGTTCTCCTTCATGTACAAGCAGAGGCTAGACGGGGGGGGGGGCAGCCAGGGAGGCTAAGTTTCCCCCATCCTATGATCCTATGAAACACAACCAGCAGCACGATGAAAATGCTTGTACCACAGACTCTACAGCAAAGTGGGAGGATCTACGTATGTCCAAACATCTACAGACTGAGTTCCTCAGGGGCAACTGGCACACCTCGCAAGGCTGGGACCCCCAGAATGAGGTGTCCCCTCTCCCTTGCCCCTCTCCCCCCCCTCCCCGGGCATTGACAATGGGTAGGATGCTGAGCGGGGCTTCCTCCAACCAACGGTGCTCAGGAAGACAGTCCTTCTCCAACACAGGGCTCCCCCACGTCTCCATCAGGGCCACTGCTGGTCCAAATCTGGTCTCCATCTTTCCGTTGACACAACCCACATAGCAAAGGCCTGATAAGAATAGGGCTCCAGCCATACAAGGCTCATGAAGCATCTTTTTAGCATACTGGATTGTGGGGGGCAATTGTATTCCAGATTAACTATTTCAGAAAGGTCTCTCAGTCACAGAGCTGGAAACGTCTGCCAACCGTTGGAACGATAAGAAACTGGCAGCCCGGAAGGGAAAGCGGGGCAGCCCCCTCCCCCTTACCTTCTCCAAAGTTCTGGTCGTAAATCTTGCTGGGGTTGGCAAACTCGTATTCTGCGCTCATGGGGTAGGCGTGTGGGATGCTGTGCTGCTGAGCCATGGCTGTCTTGAAACGCCTGCTCCCTGGGAAGCCTGCGGCCAGCCTGGACGTCAGGATCAGGCAAATTCCGCCGGGAGGAGGAAGCGATAAAAGATGGACCGAAATAGACAGGCGGGGCCTGGAATGCTGAGCCCCCAGGGAGGACCAGGAGGCTCCTGGCTCTGCTCCCCACAAGAGACATCCTTTTGCTACTGGAAGGCGGTGGGAGACGCCCCTGACAATGTGTGTCAGGTGCCTGCAAACCTCTTGGACCAGCAACGTCTTGGGGGAACAGGGCACTCTAACGGGGCGCCTGGATTTCAAATCTGACAGCAGCTGCTCCCAGAGGAGACGACGCTGCCCCGCTGGTCTCATTACGGCTGCGTTTGCTGTCCCTGTCCAGGTTGCCATGGCAAAGGGGCTGCTTCATTAGGAAACTCGCACCCTGCAGAAGTGTGCAAAGCCCCGTGTATCTTTAACGCACAACTTGAGGTGAGGGACAGCCAATCCTTCAGGCTGGGCTGCCTCCCTCTTCGGCGTCTTGCAGCGCTTCCCAAATGCGCTGGACCTGACCTCCAAGACATGTGCAACGGTTGGTTTCCCGTGGCCACAAATAAGTCCTTGATGGACAGCCATCTGTAACCGTGCAGAGAGACGGATTGGGTTTGCACATCATCTGAAGCCATGGCTCCCTTCACCACAATTAGTTGAATAAATCACAAAATGTGGAAGGAAAAACCAACCCAACCCATTATGGCTTTGTGCAAATTCACAACCGCTGGCCTCGCAGGGGAATTCTGCTTTCGCAGAGCGGCCTGGCCAAGGCCTCTTCGCCTCAGACAAACATGCCGGCCGTCTGCGCACAGGCTGGTGACGCAGAACGCAGAAGAGCTAAAGGAGAGTGAAGGAAAGAGAACAGGAGGCAGAAAGAGGTCCCAAACTGGGCAGGCAAAGTTACTGTCCGCGTGCCTGTGTGCGTAGATAGTACCGTACACATTATAAACCACTGAATGTGGTATATAGTATATACGGTTAATTCTATACTAATTACAAATTAATCATGTCTATAAATATATAGAACATATTTAATATGAATTTTTACACCGTGTGTACTTTTAAAGATATTGACATTCAGAAACCAGAGACTTCCTGCACATCCTCTGGGGCAACAGATGCCTCCTTGTTTACACTGAGTGAAACCGGAGATTGGAGCCTGTCTGTCTACCTTGCCGGCTGAAGCCGCTGCAGAGCGCTCTTGCCCCACTTCCTCTGCCCCACAGCTCAGAAGCTCTGCTGGCTTCAGCAGCATCTGGCCCGGGCTGTCACAGGATGGCCCCAGAGACAGTGCGTGCCCTTGGGCTACACAGCAAGTACATTCGCAAAACACATGGAACAACGCACTAACCAACCATATTTCAGTCTAGTGCACTGCGCAAATCCAGCATTATGACTGGCTGATGGTTGGGTTGCGTACACCAGAAAATTGAGTTCATTCCATAAGCTATAGCTCGGTTAACGCTGGGTTAGCGTGTGGCATGAACCCAGCCAATGAGACTTCTTTCAGCCATGAATTCTTCTCCAGTCAGCCCCGCTGGGTAGACCAGGACGTCAACTCCACAGGAAGGCTAAAACTACTTCTAATGGATTTGGCAATAATAGCAGAATCTTGCCAGTCCGACTGGGCTGCAGCTCCTCCTCCTTCTTATATTGCAGTGAATCAGGGAGGTGTCTGCCCTAAGCCTCTTCTGGGTGATCTCGTTGCTCTGGACTTAAAAAACATTTCAGCCCCTCTTGCCAAGCTTCCTGCCTATCTCTGTCATCTTCCTCCAGCTCCTAACCCCAAATTCTGAGCTGCGGTAAAGCATCGTCCTGAACGTTTCGGTCCAGGCAGCCATGCTGAATTCGCAGGAACGTTCACCAGGTGCAACAGGCACATGTCCCCACAAACGTTTTGAAATCTGTCGATGGGCAGGAAAGTAGCTTCGCTGCTCAACTTGGAGCAGAAAACTGGGCAAGAAAAGGGTTATGCATCTCTCCCGCCTTCTACCTCTCCCCAAAACACAAAACATTTGCAAAGGCCGAAGCAGCGAAACGAAAATGAATTGAAACACGTGAAACCATTCTAACAGATTAAGCAGAGATCAAGATTCCTCCTCCTACCTGTTTTAATCAGCTCACCAACGGAAGAAGAAATATCTGTGTCGTATTCCCTTTCTGTTTTGTGAACGGTCGCTGTCTGTAGGTAATTCTCACCAACTCTCAGCTCTTTCGTTGCCATATTTGAGGGAGTCACTGGATACCATCCTCAGAAAACTAAATTGGAGTTAATTTCTTTTACCTGGCTATTAAGAAACAAAACAAAAACAAATCCAGTTTCTTGACACATTACAAATGACAAGCTGGTCCTGGAAGATCGTACCAAGGTTTTTGAGTTTCATGCCATCCTAGGTCTCAGCGCATCTTAGATGTAGCTGTAGCACCCATAAACTTCAGGATTTAACCTCCTGCACTGGAAGACATAGTGCATCTTATCTTTACCTCGGTAGGTCATGCTGCAACTAACAGCCAGTTACTAAGTCTGGAAATGTATTATGCATCTAGGAATAATCTTAGCGGATAACATTATTGCCATAACATTTTTCAACAAAACACAATACCTTTATTTATTTTAAAGCAGGGTTCCTCAACCGTGGCGACTTTAAGATGGATGGACTTCAACTCCCAGAATTCCCCAGCCAGCAAGGCTGGCTGGGGAATTCTGGGAGGTGAAGTCCACTCGTCTGAAAGCTGCCAAGGTTGAGAAACACTGGTACAGAGTATAATATATAGAGTAATAGATAACAGAGCAGTGTTTCTCAACCTTGGCAACTTGAAGATGGGTGGACTTCAACTCCCAGAATTCCCCAGCCAACATGCTGGGAGGTGAAGTCCACCCATCTTAAAGTTGCCAAGGTTGAGGAACCCTGTTTTAAAGGGCTCCTGAAAGGTAATTTTAGAACTAATATCGTATAAAGTTTTGAAAACTCTTTTTTCACAGTAAAAATCTGACCAAACTGGTGCTAAATGTCCACTCAACCTTTCACAAAGTCACAATACATGTTTATTTAGATCACTGTTACATATAAATAGGCACATATTGCTGATACTGGATCCATGCTTACTCAGATGTTCCTTGAGTTAACTGACACTGTCTAATGAAAGCACACCAGGACAGCAATCTACTTGGGAACAGGTCATACTTCCACGTAATCATGGACAGGTCCTCTACCAACATGCCCATGGCTTTTTTGATGAACCCAGGGTCTGATTTCCAGGAAGAATCAGTCCAATTGCTTGGGAAGTTTGCAGAGCGTTAGAGGGGGGGCCATTGTTCCCGGTCCCCCAGCATCTACTAACAAAGGAAGCTTTATTTAGCTGTCCTGCAGGGGTCCTTCTCACTGTCTGGAAATTTTGTCATGTCCTTGTTATGGGGCTTAGACTCAACAAGTATAACTTCAGATCTGGCAAGAGGAAACTCTTGGCTTGGGGTACAGTGGTTACACCCTTGCAAAGATGGGGGTGAAGAAAGAGGAAACAAAAGAGGGACTGGGAACTGGTCCGACAACATTCATTACGTGCTCAGCTGGAGGTGCTGTCGTGACTGGCAGGAGCCTTGCGTAGTCTTTCATCAGCCTGAGCAAAGAGTTTTAAATTTAACCCAGTGGAGAAAATGATTCATCTCTTCTATCTCACCATCCTATTAAAAACGTTTGGCTCAGCGGTGAGATCAAGGAAGCAAATTGTCTGTGGTCCCCAAGGCTGAAATGGATGACACAGGCTGTGTCTGAAGCCCTATGGTGAGGCCAACAGGAGTGGGGGGCTTTGGGGAAGGAAGGAAGGAAGGAAGGAAGGAAGGAAGGAAGGAAGGAAGGAAGGAAGGAAGGAATGAAGGAAGGAAGGAAGCCAGGATGTAAATATTATTAGATCAAC